TGAGATATATGTTTTTAAACGTGATTCTGTACTTGCAAAGGACAATGTCAAGAAGAGAAATATTTAGAGGACGTGAGAGTAAATCAAATGTATTATGGTTTTCTGTTATTTAAAAATATTTGCAAGGAAATCTACATTTTTACTCACAATACCTTTGCATATTTCATGAGCATGTTTTCTCGTGGAATCCGAACATTATCCAGTTTCAAAAATCCATTGTCAACTTCACAAAAGCCGAACTTAGGCCCAATATCACCAACCAAAATACCTAAATCCACACAAAACTATCACCTTAGTTTCATTTAAAACAACTGGTGAGAGGCTGGTATCTGGTTTATTATGTTACCTGGGAGAGGTTCATGCGTGTCCATGTGTCGGAGCTGTACAATAAAAGCATGCAGACCATGGCAATGTCCATGAGTATAAAGCTGAGCTAAAACAATAGCATGGTTTGACGTCTTTCCAACTACAGAGGGATAAAAAAGGAGCAAAGAAGAGAAGGATTAATAACGTGTTACATATTCATGCAGAGGATATAAATGCACCTACGAGCTCCGGGCCACCATTTGATGGAGGTAACTGTGGGACTGTTTAAGACAAACTCTTGTGTTGCTGGATCATAAGTGGCAGTGGTTTCAAGGCCTCTCAGATGAGTACCTTTGAAAGGGTAAAAGTAAAAGTATATTACAAAATATTTCCCAAATGTATAGAGAAAAGGTAGCTGTCCCTAAACTCATACTGCCTATATATTTAAGCATAAAGCAGGAAACTGTGTAATTTGAACTCTACCCCAAATAATAATCAGTGTCCTACTATAACGGCCTAAAGAGTTATCGATGTCATAGTTGAATGAAGAAAATGTGCTAATGAGATATGCATCATTTTGTTACAAGAAACTTCTGGTATGTTCACTACACACCTCCAATTTAGAAAATTTACAATGTCGGCCATTAGTGGAAAACCTTAAAGGTTGTATGGAGGATTTTTTTTGTTACAAATTGTCAATGATAGCATTATAGAGATGCAGTAGCCTTGTAATTATGATGACCAAAAAAAAGAGAATAAAACTTCATCAACTCTGGACGTGGTGGGGCCAGCTAAACATTTGCCAATAGATAACGACACTGCCTCGTTATCTGTTAGCTGATAGGCTGTCAATCAAACTCCCTACATTTCTAGCGTAACTGACTTGCCTGCGCGCTGCCATTATGTGGTTTACGTACGCCTGTCACGCAGTCCACAGACGCTGTTTACTCCACCAACGCAACAGTTCTTAGCAGCTTTTTTGACCTATATCTTCCTCGCAGTTAGCACAAAGTTTGTTGCAATGGCAGACAAGAATCCAGGAGCAGTTAGCCGCAAAAGAAAGTCAGTTTTTGAGGTCGCTGAAAGAAGAAGACAAGGGGAAAAGCAGCAAAGCCAAACTAAGGTGATTCTTGGAGATTCATTCCAGCGATGGTGCGACTGAAGCAGACGAAGGGTCTAAAGACTGACGCACTGGTCGCCAAATTACTCCTGGACAGGAAACTTCTGCTTATTATGAAAACGTACTTTATTTCCAAGAGTTAGACAAACGTTTTTCAGGACACGAATGCGATATCCTATGTCTGAAAACTTAATTTTCAAGGCAAAGAAAGAGTCCGCTTGCTGCTGCTGCGTGTTGTAGTAGTAGCTAGTTCATTCACACGGAATCTCCGCGCACCCCTCTCTGCACCCCTCTCTGCTCCTCTCCCCGCTGCCCGTTCCGCTCTTCTCCCTGCTCCTCACTTCTCTGCGCATGGAATCTCTGCGCACCGCTCCCCTCTCCTCTCCTCTCTCCCTGCTCCGCTCTTCTCCCTGCTCCTCACCTTTTCTCCGTGCACGAAATATCCGCGCACCCCCTCCCCCCGCTCCTCACTTTTCCGCCTTGCCTAACCAACACTGTAGTTAGTTGTTTACAAGTCATGTGCAGCGCACCGGCTGTAAACAAACCTGTTTCTGGCGTAAGGAGGAGGGAGGAGGCGTTTCTACGTAGGGAGCTGTGTGTGTGTGTGGGGGGGGGGGGGTTCACGCATGCGCAACATTTGAAAAAGGACAAACAGTCGCTGGATTTCTCGTTCCTTGGAAAATCCTCTATACAACCTTTAAAGACCACAGTTACAGACTATAGTACTGCATAAATGCATCCACACTGATGCATATGTACTGCTTTTGTCAAAAACCTACATTTCATCTTAACTTCATTTAAAATATGAAACCAAACTTGATAAATCTAGGACGAACCATGGCCCAGCTCAGTCTGGGCATAGGTACCCATAACCTTGAAGGATCTGGCCAAAGGTAACCACTTCTTGGACTGTTCTTGATCACACTGGCTGTACAGGGTTGGGAGGACCATGACATACTGCGGTCCCAGAGTGCCAAACTGGTTGCATAACTCTATACTGTGTAGAGGGAAGGATACATTGTTAAGGTAAGTAAGTAAGTAAGTATTTATTTATATAGCGCTTTTCATAGACATATGTCACAAAGATGCTTTACAGAGCTTAATTCATTAACTCCATACCCAGTGGTGGTAAGCTACTATTGCCACAGCTGCCCTGGGGCAGACTGACAGAAGTGAAGCTGCCAATCTGCACAATCGCCCCCTCCGATCACCACCATCTCTCACGCACACACCACTTTCATACTGGGCAATGTGGGTGAAGTGCCTTGCCTAAGGACACAATGACAGTTTTTTGGGCTTTTTTTTTGCGACTGGCACCCCACTGTGGGACCTGATTTACCCAGTGGTCTCCCATCCAAGTACTAACCAGGCCTGGCCTTGCTTAGCTTGTGAGATCTGATGTGCTCAGGCTTTGACAAGCCGGTAAGGTTATGATCAACTTTTCATTGCATTTAGCAGTTACAATACAATAAACATGTAACTTCATTTAAGAGTGCATTATTGGCACAAACAAAGGTCGATTTACAAGAGCAGTATGTCTGTTTTTCTTTTTTCATCAATCAACTCCAAATTAAAACAGCTTGCCATCTCTATGACCCAGGAGCAACATACAGATTTTGAGCGGACATCTTGGACATAGTAGGCTATCTTGACTCCATAAAAATTGCAGAAAACAGGAGAATCAATTTTTTTTTTTTTTTTTTGTACTAGCAAGTATGATGTCACTCCGCTCAAATGAAGCTTGCGATGCCAGCATTTACAGGGGAGAATTTGGAGCCATGCTCTATATTATGAATAGGATGTTTTCAATGGACAAAATAGTGAAATAAAACACCAGGATCATATGGACCAGGTTATTACGAACATTTTAAGATCAAAATGACAAAATGGCAGTTACAGAAAGACAGGTGATAACATTCCAAAGTCAGTGGGAGTTTGGGTCAGTAAGAGCTGGAAGTGCCCGCATGCGAACTTCTTATTTGCAATGTGTCGGATGGTGCATAACTTTTGTCCATTTATATCATAGAGTGTACAATCCATGGACATATACACACATATATATATATATATATATATATATACACACACACATATATATATGTATATATATATATATATATATGTCTAAATTTCTACTGTCAGAGGGTTAAGTGTGTTTATTACCTGTAGATGTAAATCTCCTCTGGATCTACAATGCCTCTAAGCTTCGAGATCATTTGAGCGCTCTTTCTTACAGTTTGATCATAACGCTCACTGCGAGACAGGAAATTTGGGTCCACTTCATCAAAATCTGGATCATTTAAGACCAGTGACACTAAAATGACAAGAGAAATCATTAGACATTAAAATACACAATATGAACTACATACAAATAAGAACATAGGTTTTACATAATACATACACCAATACATCATTCACCATGAGAACCAGAGAGCCTGATCCAAATATAAAAGAATGTCTGACTTTAAAAGTCAGAATTATGAGTTTAAAACTGCAATTATGAGTATTTACGAGTTTTAAACTCATAATTATGACTTTCTGTGACGCTTTTATTTTTTATTTATTGGTGGAAATGGGTTTCCATAGTATACCACTAAAATACAACGAAACACAGTAAATTGCCAAAATTCCACTGCAGTTGCAATATTATATTCAAACACCTACAGAAATCACATTGCCACACACATTGCCATTTTCTTCGCAAAAAATCTTAGTATGGGTTAAGCTAATAATATTATCAATTATTATTATTAATTGTTAATTATTAATATTAATATTATTTACAGGTTAAACGCTGTGTGACACAAAACAATAGTGCACAAAGTGATCAGGCACCTTACCAATTTCTCGTTTTCTTTTGGTCTTTTCAGGCCCACCATCCAAAATACAAATGAGTTTCTGGACGTCAAAAGAAGCATTCTGTCGCTCTTTAAGAATTTCCGGATTCATAACTTTAGTTGTAATAAATCCTTTTGAAGTCGTTACCTTACACGACCTCCGCTAGATAAGAGTTATCTGCAATGTATCTAATGTCACTGTGACACGGACCCCGCAGGGGGTGTAGGTGAAGGTTTACATAAAAAGAATCCCGATAAATGATCACGTGATCCCAAAAAACTATCACGCGATCCTGTAAAAAGTATCATGTGATCCTGTGAAACTTTCTTGCATTAAATGAATGACGAGGTAGACAGAGAAGCAGAAAGCTTCATAACCGCACCTCTGCAGCGTTCCTGGCGGTAGAGACACCGGGTCTTTGGGGGCATAATTCAATTGATACACCACTGCCCAGCCAGCTTTCCTTGTTCTTTTCGCAGACTGTCTTTGTTGTGAGGTTTGTTCTATTGCGGCTACCGTATATAGCGAAGATTACCACTAGAAGGCATACGTTATTGTTAAGTTGGATGAGTTCAAGTGTGCGCTCCTGTTGAGTTGTACTAACGTTGTAATAAACACGCTTCGAGAACAACTCAGTCTTATGCTTGCCTCATAACATGACATTGTCGAAGTTTTCACCTTTTTTATTGGTTTATTTAACAATTACTGGCAACGTCACAAGGGGGCAGTACAACAATAATAACAACATTGTAAAATTACTGCATGACAACATTGACCTTATAACACTCCCACTTAATTTTACAATACCATTTGTATAAGATTTTCCCTTTTGAAAATAAAATGAAAAAAAAAAAAAAACATATTTACGCCTGACTAACAACTAGGCATAATAAACACTTAATAAACTGAACACAGCCCAATCTCTTCTCTGAGATGCTCAAACTTTTGCTTAGGCAAGGGTTTTGTTAGAATATCTGCCCTCATATGATCTGTTGAGATATACTGCAACTGTATTTGTCCATTCTGCACACATTCACGAATGTAGTGGTAACGAATGTCTATGTGCTTGGTTCTTGCATGATCAGCTGGATTCTTTGCTATTGCGATGGCTCCTTGATTATCCTCCAGGATCACAGTCGGTATGATCTCCATTCCAAGTTCAGTTAGTAGTCGTCTCAGCCACGTTCCTTCCTGTGCAGCTTGGCTTAGTGCGACGTACTCAGCTTCTGCAGTTGAAAGTGCTACTGTGGCTTGTTTCTTACTCAGCCAACTTATTGCTCCTCCAGCGAGTAGAAAGATGTTTCCTGTAGTTGAACGCCGATCATCCTGATCACCTGCCCAGTCTGCATCTGAGAATCCAACTAAGTTTCCTGTCTCTGTTCGCTTATACTTGAGTGCAAGGTTTTGCGTCCCTTTCAAGTATCTCAGTATTCTTTTGACTGCAGTGAGATGTGCAGTATTTGGATTTGCATTGAACTTTGATACGGCACTCACTGCTTGTGCGATGTCTGGTCGCGTGGCCATAGCAGCATACAGCAAACTTCCTACCATGGACTGATAGGCACTCTGGTTCACTGGCTTACTGACATCATCATTCTTTTTTAGCTTAACATTTGTGTCAGCTGGCGTTGCCACTGGTTTGGCACTGTCCATTCCATATTTTTTAAAATACCCTCAATGTATTTTTTCTGATGAAGAAAGATGCACTCTTTATCTTTGTCTTGAACAACAGAGATGCCCAAGATGTTGGACAGCTCACCCATGTCCTTCATTTTGTATCTTTTCTTCAGAGTTTCTTTCAGCTTGTCCATACTCTCAGCTGACTCTGTAATCAAAATCAGATCATCAACATACACAGCCAGTATTTCTAGTTCCTGACCTGTTCTAACAAACACACACTGATCTGAGGTACTCTGAGCAAAGCCAATGTCCTTCATAAACTCTGTGAAAGCTTTGCTCCAGCAGCGAGGTGACTGTTTTAGTCCATAGATTGACTTTTTCAGTTTGCATACCATATGTTCTTGTCCTTGTTTTCTGTAACCTTCTGGTTGATCCATGTAGATTTCCTCTTGTAAGTGTCCATTTAGAAATGCTGTTACAACATCCATTTGGTGCACATGAAGATTGTTTTGCACAGCAAACGATAACAATGTACGGACTGAACTGAACCGTACCACCGGTGAAAAAGTCTCATCATAGTCTGCACCATAAACCTGTGAGTAGCCCTTAGCAACAAGTCTACATTTGTATCTTTCAACTCGTCCGTCACTGTGATGCTTGACTTTAAACACCCACTTTGATCCTATTGCTTTGCGTTCCTTTGGTAGCTCTACCAGGTCCCATGTGTCATTTTCCAACAGCGATTCATATTCCAGATCAGCCGCTTCCTGCCACTCCTTTGCATTTGGACTCAACATGGCTTCTTTCAGTGTGGTTGGCTCTGTAACACAACACATGTTAGCATAATGCTCAACAGTTACTACATCAGCAAACTCCTCGTATCCAAATCTCTTTGGAGGCCTTCTGATTCGGCTTGACTGTTTAACAACCTCACTATCTGTAGTGTTCTTAGAATTTGTTTGCTTTTCATCAGTGTTTAGTGTCACTTCATTATCTACGTTGGATACATTTTCTCCTTGTTTACATCCAAAGTCCGTCTCATTGAAAACAACATCCCTTCGAATGAGTACTCTCCTCTTTTGCTCATTCCACAAACGATAACCTTGTGCATTGCTTGCATAGCCTATGAAGTGAAGCTTTACTGCTTTTTTGTCCAGCTTCCTTCTTTCTACATCTGGGACATGCGCATAAGAGACACAGCCAAATACTCTCATATGACTAATGTCTGGCCTTTTTCCATACCACCTTTGAAATGGCGTTTCCCTTTTGAGAACCGATGTGGGCAACCTGTTCTGTATATAGGCTGCAGTTGCAACAGCCTCTGCCCAGTACATGTTTGGTAGCTTTGCATGAGATAGCATACTTCTGGCTGCTTCAACTAGTGTCCTGTTTTTTCTTTCTGCTACACCATTTTGCTGGTGTATGAGGTACAGTCATCTCATGGTGGATCCCGTGAGCTTTCAGATACTCCTGAAACTCTTTGGAAGTGTATTCCCCACCATTGTCCGTCCTGAGTCGAGTCACCTTTTGCCCACACTCATTTGAGAATGTTCTTTCAAACTCCTTAAACTTGCTCAAAACTTCACCTTTATCTTTAATGAAGTAAACTTTACAGCACCTGGTGTAGTCATCAATAAACGTAACAAAGTACTTTGCTCCACCAATGGATTCAGTTTGCATTGGACCACACACATCACTATGAACAAGATGCAACTTACGTTTTGACCGTATTTCTCCCAGTGATTTGCAAGGCTTTCTAGACATCTTGCCTTCAACACAGGCTTCACAGAAGGTTCCCTCCTCTTCAGTAGTGAAGTTCACTCCCTTCACCAAGTGTCTGAGTTCCTTGAGCTTTGTAGTGTGACCAAGACGTTGGTGCCACACCTTTGCTGCAACTGATGTACTTGATGCACCGTGACAGGCAGCGATGCTCCCTTCAATGTTCAACTGATACAACCCATCTGATCGTTGTATTCCCATACCTTGAAGTTTTCCATCCTCTCCACGTATGTAGCAACGAGTCTTTTTGAATTGTACTATGTTTCCTCTCTTGGCTGCAGCTCCCACAGAAAAAAGATTCATTGACAACCTGGGAACATACAGTACATTGTACATAGTGACATTTTTAACTTCACTAACTCTGAATGACATTCTCAGTTTTATGTTGCCAAATCCAAGTGCTTCAACTACTCTACCATCACCAAGTTTCACTGATTGTGGCTCTGAAAACTGCTGGTAGTGCTGAAGTCCTTCTTTGTTCCATGTCATGTGTTTAGATGCTCCAGAGTCAATTAACCAATCTCCATTCTGTAGCTCACTGTCACTTGGCTCATTTACAACAAAAGCACCTTCACATGAGTCCTCAGCATTCTCATGCATCATACTTTTGGCTTTGTGAGTTTTGTATTTCCTTTTTATGCTTGGACAGTTACGTTTGAGATGTCCTTCTTTCCCACATTTATAACATCTCCATGTGTTGGGGCTATCTGCTCCCACTGTTTTTGATTTGTCCTGCAGATTTCCTCGCACTTGTGTTGACATCGCTGACGCACCACTTGACACCGGAATATTTACGGCATGTTCTTGTTTTTGTTCCTCATTTATCAAGGCTTGCTGCACAAACTTCAGTGTCAAATTGTCCATTTTTGTTTCCAGGGCAGTAACAACTGTTGCATAGCTTTGTGGTAAACTACCCAGGAGTGTGACAATTTGGTCCTCTTCTTCAATCACTGACCCTATTGCACCGAGTTGATCAGTGAGCTCCTTCATTCTTTTTAAATGTTCACTGAGATTTTCTCCTGCCTTCATTTCACATCGGAAATATTTTTTCTTTAAAAACAGCTTATTAGCAACAGTGTCTCTCTCAAACTGTCCTTTTAACGTGTCCCATGCTTCTTTTGGAGTCGTGCAGCTTGTTATCAGGTATAACTGGGGTGTAGAGACGTTTAGCACTAACACTGAAAATGCCTTCTCACGCCGTCTTTCAAACTCGGCTCGTGCATTAGCATTAGCATCTGCCGCTAATTGTTCCGACTCTGTTAGCATACAACACAGTCCTTTTGCTTTCAGAAGATGCTCCATCTGAAATTTCCATGTTGCCCAGTTCTCTGGTCCGCTCAGCTTGTCAATAAACAGTTTGTCTTCCATTGTGAATCCGACAATACCGTTTATGCCACACAAATCCGTGCAAAAAAAACTTTTTTCAGCGACGCTCTGGGCCCATAACCTGTCGAAGTTTTCACCTTTTTATTGGTTTATTTAACAATTACTGGCAACGTCACAAGGGGGCAGTACAACAATAATAACAACATTGTAAAATTACTGCATGACAACATTGACCTTATAACAGACATGGTGTCAGAATTGAAGACTTCACGCCTACATTGAAGACGAAATGGCTAAGTTTGGACCTGTTGTGTTGTGCCCTCATTTTATTATTTGTATTATGATAGAGACTTATGATTTAACCAATGGTGTGTAAGAACACTTGATCACGTGAGGCACAAAATTATGAATGGCCTGCACCTGTGAATAAAAGTGTGTGCCCGTGGAGAATGGGGTAACCACACAAAAAGAGAATACGAAGTGTACTGTGTTTTAATGCTCACGACAACGCTGCGTAAAAGGACCCTGCTAACAGGACCTCCGGAGCCTTTTGATTTTACACAACCGGCAGAGTGGCCGTCATGGCGCCAACGGTTCTCCCGGTTCAGAGTCGCATCAAAACTCGACAGAGGGGACGGCGAGGTGCAGGTGAACTCGCTTCTGTACTCAATGGGGAAAGATTCAGAGCCAATCAATGGATCATCCTGTGTTTCCTGCTGCTCCAGAATATGACTTTACTCTTGTGATGGGAAAGTTTGACGAGCACTTTGTTCCTAAAAGAAACGTTATCCACAATCGCGCCTGTTTCCACAAGCGGAGCCAAAGGGCCGGGGAGACAGTGAGGCTTTCGTGCGGAGCCTCTATGAGCTCGCGCAGCACTGCGAGTTCGGCGCTAGCAAAGACGAGCAGATCCGAGACCGCATCGTCATTGGATTAGTGGACAAGGAGGTCTCACAAAAACTGCAACTGGAGGCGGATTTGACCCTGGAGAGAGCCGTCCAGCTAGCGCGTCAAAGCAG